AGAAAGAAAGAAAGAAAGAAAGAAAGAAAGAAAGAAAGAAAGAAAGAGAAGCTATCATACCCAAAAGGAGTAGAGGACAGGTAATAGTCAAACTCCAGAAGGAAATCAATGAAATAGAAATACCCAAAAGGAGTAGAGGACAGGTAATAGTCAAACTCCAGAAGGAAATCAACAAAATAGATATAAAGAGAACAATACAAAGAACCAACAAAATGAAAAGCTGGTTCTTTGAGAAAATCAACAAGACAGATAAACCCTTAGCCAAACTAACTAGAGGACACAGAGTTAGTATACAAATTAACAAAATGAGACAGGAAAAGGGAAACAGAACAACAGAAACTAAGGAAATACAAAATATCATCAGATCATCCTACAAAAGCCTATACTCAAAAAAAAAAAAAACTGGAAAATCTAGATGAAATGGGAGATTTTCTAGACAGATACCATGTACCAAAGTTAAATCAAGATCTGGTAACCTTTCTAAACAGGTCAATATCCCATAAGAAAATGGAAAAAAAATCATCAAAATTTCTCAACCAAAAAGAGCCCAGGGCCATATGGCTTTAGTGCAGAATTCTACAAGACCTTCAAAGAAGAGGTAATGCCCAAACTCTTGAATCTATTCCATAAAATTAAAAAAAAAAAAGAAAGAACACTACCTAATTCATTCTATGTGGCCACTATTACTCTGAAACCTAAACCACACAAAGACTCAAAAAAAAAAAAAAAGAAAAGAGAACTTCAGACCAAATTTGCTAATAAATAGGAATGCAAAAATACTCAATAAAATCCTAGCAAACTGAATCCAAGAACACATCAAAACCATCATTCACCATGATCAAGTAGACTTCATCCCAGGGATGCAAGATTGGTTCAATATACAAAAATCTATTAACATAATCCACTATATAAACAAACTCAATGAGAAAAATGATTATCTCATTAGATGCTGATAAAGCATTTGACAAAATAAAACACTCCTTCATGTTAAAAGTCTTGGAGAGATCAGGAATTCAAAGCCAATACCTAAAAATAATAAAAGCAATATACAGCAAACCCACAGGCAATATCAAATTAAATGGAGAGATACTTGAAGCAATCCCTCTAAAATCAGGGACAAGATAAGGATGCCCACTCTTCCTGTGTCTATTCAATATAGTACTCGAAGAT